AAAACAACAGTACCTTTAATTTCATCCAGCACACAGGTTCATTCTAGTTCTCTGCCTTTCCATATTTGTAACCTTCTTCTCTGGCTGGCATTCATCTTAGTGCACACCCTTACTTGACCAACTGCCCTTGTGTGTAACTGGTCTTCTAACTCTGCTGTCCTCTCCTTTCTCAAGCAGACGCTCTTCTTACCCCGCTGGGGCTCTGACAGACCCCTCTGAGAATATCTTACACACACTCCAAAGTCTGGCTCCAAGTTTAGTAGTCTCTGCTCTAAATATTGAGATCTAGTGGGAGGAGTTTCAGTTACAAAGGTTTAGTTACAATTTTATAGAGTTGCATAAAGTAGTTTTTTTCTTGTAGGCTATTTTAGTAAAAACAGATCAGAGAGAACAAGAGAGAATAAAAATCACCGTGACTTTAAAAATTATCATTTTGCCTTCAATTTATTGTAGAATAGAATACAAACTAGTATCTACAATGCATGCGTACATTTTGAAGATTAATAACATTGAAAAACAATCACCCTTGTACCTATGGCCCAGCCTAAGAAACACAGCATCACTGGTACCTTTGCAGCCCTCGTGTGCCTCTCTGACTGCAGTCCTTTCCCTCCTCTTGAGTGATAACCACTCTCCAGAACTTTGTGGTAATTATTTCATAATTGCTTTTTATTAATCTCTCTTTTACAGATTGCTGTTGTGGCTGTCATGTGCAAACCCCACAGATGTCCACACATCAGTTTTACAGGAAATATATGTGTGTGAGTATGGTGATTTTGAAAAGTCGTGTACGTGTATGTGTTTTAATTGAACCAATTAAGTCCCCCTAGAGCCTTGATCAGTGCATGCTGGTGATATTTAAAATTTTGACTTAACAGATGCATTAGTTAGTTCTTTGAAACAAGCAGCTGTCAATAGGGTATTTCAGTGCTTTAAAAATGAAACATACAAAGATTTTAATTTGTTGCAGTATAGAATAAAAAATGCATAGGTTACAGAACTCAAAAGAGTAGATATGCTGTTAACTTCATAAATGAAACATGGAAGTATGAGCTTCCTAAATTCCAGATGTCAGAAATTGAAAATGAATTTGGGATCAGAAAAGTATCAAAATAAGAAGTTATCCTTGTGAATAATCTTTAAACTTCTTAAAGTTAGATAATTGGAAAAATTAGCAGAAGAATATGCGTGATTCTAGGTTGGAAGATTAACGGGGAGAAAGAGTAGTTACTGCGAGAGCACGGTGAGCATCATCCAAACTTAGGAAAACAGGTCCTATTATTTGCCCCCAGAAGTTTAAGCCTCTAAAATAACAGTGACTGCAACATCCTGAAAAATGACTAATAATGTTCCTTTACATGTTTCTCTTTTTACTTGCTGGTAGAAAATACAAATATTTGCAGATGCTGCAAAGATAGAATCTTCTCTTAGGATTTGAAAATGAAGCTGGTTCAATCAGGACTTCACGGAGACCGTGAATACTTGAACTAGACTGCTGGACTAAGTTTGGTATCTGACAGCCTCATTCTTTTGTTGTGTTGGCAGATACTGCCCTGGTGGACCTGATTCAGATTTTGAGTATTCAACCCAGTCTTACACTGGATACGAGGTACAGTAAAGTGAGGCTGTCTCGAGGAGGGTTACATCATGCTTTACCTAGAGTACACTTTTACAAGTACTGGCTTTCTTAGAATTTCTTTTTTTTCCAAATTGCAAAAGTTACTCATTGACCAGACATTTGCTGAGTGTCTGTATTGTTCTAGTCACTGGAGAAATACTTATGAAAGCACTTATTATTAATATGTGTCACTGTTCCAGGTGCTTTGTAACTTTAAACCTTGTAGCAAGACTTTGAAGGTAGACACTATTATTATCCTAGTTTTATGGAAAAGGAAACAGGCCTGGAAGCCTTAAGCAGCTGGCCCAGGGGCACACTGCTAATAAGTGACAGGGCTAGGTTTTGAATAATGCTCCTCACCAGTTCTCTGTCCTACTTCTGCCCCCGTGAACAAACAGGCCAGGTCCCTGGTCTTGTGGAATTTACATTCTACTAATGGGAGAAAATAAAGAAACAAAAAAGAAGAAAAATATCAGGTACCAGTAAATGCTAAGCAGAAAAGTAAAATCGAGTCAGGTGTAGTAGCTGGGTGGGTACTTTAGCATTGGTGGCTGGCAAGGGGTGGTCTGAGGAAGTGACATTTAGGCGGGGCCCTCAATGACAAGAAGGAGCCTTTCAAGGGTCTTGAGAAAGAGCACCCCTCGCAGAGAGAACAGCTAGCCTCAGGGCCCCTGGCCAGAACGGCGGCGGGCGTTCTGGTGAGCAGGCAGGAGGCGGGTGGGATTGGAGAGATGGATGGCACGGGGGTTTGTGAGCAGGGCAGGGCGTTTGGGTTTTATTAGGGGTGTCGTGAGAAGCCATAAAGGTTTACAGCAGGGGAATGTATAATCCCACACAGGTGTTTAAAAGGTCCTCTGATGGCTGTGCGGGGGTGGGATTAGAGTAGGGGCAAGAGTGAAAGCAGGAGACCAGTGAGCAGGCTCTTCAAGCGGTTGTCTCCTCAGAAGAGGTCAGCAGCCAGCAAGCCATGTGACTTATTTTTCTTATCTATGGTTTTTCTTTTTTTTTCATAGTTAAATTTTTTTAAAAGTACAAAAGGAATTTGTCAGTGAAAAGGCCCCCTCTCGCTGCTGTCCCTTAGCTACCCCTTTCTGCTCCAGCCCCATGGACAGTCAGTGCAACCCTTTTCCTATACATTCTTCAAAGATATCATATAGGTATTAAAATAACATATATCCTTTATCCTAATTGTTTACACAAATGTTGTCTATCAAAACCTGGCACCTTGCCTTTTTCATTTAACAGTGTATCTCAGACAACGTTTTATATCAGTCCATTGTTTCGTGGCTGTAGAATATTCCATTGTGTGATCACATAAAGGCTTTTTGTTAAGCTGTACAAACTATGTTGTATTTAGTGACCTGGTTTGAAGGTTATTTTATCCCAGTAACTTTTGGGTATGTATGCACATCTGTGTCCTTGAGCAGGACAGCGGTGTGGTGACCCTGGGGATTCCATAAGTGTTTACACGAAGATACAAATATGATCCAAGGAGATGCCTGCTTTTAAGATACTTCTGACAGCGGGAGTGGGGACCAGCCAGGTGCTATTCAGGGCATTATTTGAACCCTGACAAAACTGAGAAAGGAAGAAAGGAGCCCAAGGGAATTTTATTTTTAATACAGCTCTTTTGAAACTGCTTTTTATTTTTAATTCAGTTTGGGCGTAATAGGATATTTTTCTTTTCTTAGCCAACCTCCATGCGAGCTATCCGTGCTAGATATGACCCTTATCTACAGACAAGACACCGAATAGAACAGGTAAGTTTTAAAAAAGCATTTTAAAATTGGATCTCTATACTTAGAAGGTATTATTGCTTGATTTGAGTTGGACCTGAAATAAGAACTAAAAGAGTTTTTTCCCCTTTGTAAGTTTTTAATATCCATCTGAGAGAGGGGGACTGTTTTGCAATACCTAGCAAGGTCAAAAACTACATCCTTTAAAGACTTATTTTCTGTAAGGTTTGGATAATCTCTAAAAGTCTTTCAGTTTGTAGAAGGTCGTTTATGGTATGAAGTGTACGGAATCTAGATGTGTGGAAGGTCTTAGGGTGGATTGAATCGTAGCTTCCATAAGCCAAATGAGAAGTATGGTGACTACTTTGCTGGGGTGAGAATAGGGAATTGACCGCAGAGGGATACGAGGGACTCTTGGGAGCTATGGAATTGGTCTGTGTCATGGTTGTGGTGGTGGTTACACAACTCAACATTTATCAAAACTCATTCAACTGCACACTTAAAGTTAGTGGATTTTATTGTATATAAATTATACCTCATAACTGATTAAAAACAAGTACCACGTAAATGGCCTTGCTCTGTTCATGAAATCTGAAGATTAACACAAATTTTCTTTTGCATGATTTATTTTAAACCTGTCTGATTTAAGACTGTGAGCACTGTCCATAGTTTACAGTTGCATCTAGTAGGGCAACCAGAAAGTCTGAAATGGAAAGTGGCACGTACCGCGGTCTGTAAGTCGCTTCTGTGTTTCACTACTATTGTTAGTGAACGCCAGCCGTTCTAATTGTCACATCACTGTCACCCGAGCATGCATGGCTTAGGGTCGTCAGCTGGAGGAGAGGACCCCACCTGCCAGGAGCCTACGTAGTTTCTATACCAACTATTGCTTCAGTTTCTGTTTCAGCCATGATAGTTAATTCATTTGAAATGTTTCAATAGAGTTCGAAATGTTTGTGTTTACCAAAAAGAAGCATGGATTTTGAAAGCTTTAGAAGCGACCAGAGACCAGTGATTCCTTCCCTAACTATAAAGGCACTGGAATCACTTGAGTGACTTTCCAAAATACATGCCGATCTTCACCCATGGAGTTCTGATTAAGTCTGGCTTAGGGTCCGGGCAAGATATTTTGAAAAGGCTGCCAGTAAGATTTTGTTGTGTGTACTTTGTAAACAACCATAGTGGTATTCTTTCAGTGTTGATAGCTCTATACATGTACTTATGTATATATGTATATTCGTATGCGTGTGTGTGCAGGCACATAAGCATATATGTGTGTATAAATTATTCTCTGCCATTTTCAGGGACAAGTATAAAAGTAACTTTTTACCCATTTTAAGTGTAGGCATCCTTTTTACACAGTACATTCGAGTTCATAATTTGTAGTCTACTTACCTAGTTTTTCTCAATTCTAAGATCTGGCAAGAAATTTTAATACCTGTTTTTAAAAATTAGAATCTTGGCTTATTGGGGTTGACAAAATGAAAGATCTGTACCATTCCATCTCCCAGTAGAGGAGGCAACGTATTTTGGGGATTTTTTTGGTTTTTTTTAAATATATTTTTATTGAAGTACAGTCAGTTTACAGTATGTGTCAATTTCTGGTGTAAGCACAATACTCCAGTCACATAGGAACATACATATATTCGTTTTCATGTTCTTCACCATAGGTTACTACAAGATACTGAATATGGTTCCCTGTGCTATATACAGTATAAGCTTGTTATCTATTGTATATATATTAGTATCTGCAAATCTCAGACTCCCAGTTTATCCCTTCCCACCCTCTTCCCCCACTGGTAACCATAAGTTTGTTTTCTGTATCTGTGAGGGAGACATTGCATTTCAGATTTTGTCAATCAGACTTTTATTTTCTTTCTCCCCTACTCCCAGCCACGCCCCCAGAGCAGGCTTGGGTGCCACCTGTGCCCAGGAGCCTCACAACTGATTTAAAGCTTTGAAGTTTTGATTTAAAACTGCTTTCTTAATGTTTCTTTCTAATCTAGTGTTCTCTTTTCTTTCATCTGCATCAAGGCCTGAGTATGTTGCAGATAGTCAGCCTTCTTGTACCCAATGCTTACCGCGAAGTCTGGCATAAAATACATAATCAGTAAATGTTTGTTGTATTGCACATTGTGTTATATTTGCCTTCACTGCTCTGTAATTTATATTCTGTTTTTAAGCTTTCACTTAACTCTTAAGTATTGACATCATACTTATTTTTTTAATTCTCAGTCTTCCTTATTTGAGCTGTAATTTTCTTTTTTCTTTCAGACTCTAGGGTCTTTTTTTTTAATCTGTATAATTCACTTAGCATGTTTCATTGCTTCTCATTTTTAAACTTTACTGATGAAAACACTGCATAATAAAATTAGAAATTTGCAGTACCCTCTTAGGGTAGTTGATTATATCCTTCTAATGCTGATGAATTTGTATCTTTCAGTTAAAACAGCTTGGTCACAGTGTGGATAAAGTGGAATTTATTGTGATGGGTGGAACGTTTATGGCCCTTCCAGAAGAATACAGAGACTATTTTATTCGAAATTTGCATGATGCCTTATCAGGACATACCTCCAACAATATTTACGAGGCAGTCAAGTAAGAAATTCTTGTTTTATCGTATTCTCCACAGTGGTTATCAGTTTATTCTCCTAGCAGCAGCTTATGAGAATTCCTTCTGCCCTGTGTCTACATTCCTAGTTCTTTTTATTTGCATATTTTTCATACTTGTAAGGTTAAATACATTTTTCCCCAGTTTTCTTAAGATATAATTGACTTACAGCACTGTGTATGTTTACAGCATACAGCATAATGGTTTGATTTCACATGTATCATGAAATGATGACCACAATAAGTTTAGTTAACATCCATCATCTCATACAGCCCTAGTTCTTGTAGTTATTTCTGTTTTGTGGGGAAAAAAGGATTATGGTTTTAAAAAGTGAGTAAGGCTCATTGGCATTATTCTCAAAAAGTCACTGTGAAGCTCTTTGCAGCCTTCGGCTGCTCTAACCTGCAGGAGTAGCTTTGATCGGGCTAGTTGAACCCACCCAAAAAGAGCACTGGGAGTTCTCATTATCTGAAATGTTTAGCTGCTATAAAGTCAACAAAACATGCGACTATTATTTTAAAATTACTGTTTTATTAGTTACTATTTAATAACTATTAAATATTTTATGAGAGGGACCCCTTATTCATTTCAAATTCTAGTTGACAAAATGAGAATTATTCATTCCTTTGATACCTCAAATCTCAGTTTTTAGCAGGATGAATACTAAGGTTTCATATATAGTTCGGTGATTTAAGAAGTGAAAGTCTTAAAATAGTTCTTATTTTCAGAAGTTTCAGGAACACCCGGCTGAGTCACTGCGTGCCATTCCCTCTTACCTGCTGAGCGATTACTGAAGGCCCACTTGGTACCATGCGCTGCTCTGGGCACTGGGACAGCGTGGTAAATGAGATGCATGTTGTCCTTGCCCTTGAGATGCTTCCATTCTGCTGGTTCAGCAAATAAACAGTCAGTGCTGTGATGGAGATCGACTGTAATAGGGAAGAAGTGGGTGATCCCCTGGATGAGGTGGTGATATCTAAGCTGAGACCTGAAGTGTAAGGAGGAGTCGATCAGGCCAAGCGCAGGGGGAAAAAAAAAAGACAAAGGCACTAAGATGAGGAAGAACTTGAGGTGTTCTCGGAAGAGAGAGGAGGCCAGTGGGGCTAGATTGCAGAGACCAAGGAAGAGAGTATCATGAGGTGAGCTTGAAGAGTTAGGTATGGGCCAGATTACACATGCTTTTGAGGCGTTAAAAACTTTTCCAAAATGCAGTAAGGAAATGAGTAGTTTTAAGGAGAGTGACATGTTCAGGTTGGTAAGTAAAAAGGTTGTTCTGGCTGTTGCCTGCCTAGTGGGTTAGAGTAAAAGTGGGAAACCAGACGGAAGACTGCTGTGTCCATCCCAGCTCAGATGAGGGTGGAGGCCCTAGTGATGGAGAAGAGAGGATGGGTTAGAGTTGCATTGGTTTTTGCAACTGACAGACTTGGATTGGGCTGTGGGTAAGAAGGAGGATGGAGTCAAGGCTGACGCCCAGGTTTTGGTTGTAGGACGTGATTGAGGGTAGTGCCGTGTACTGAGAAGGAAAGAGAGAAGGAAGAACAGGTTTGTGGGAGAAAACAACAGTTTTACTTTGGATACGTTAAGTTTGAAACGCCTAGGATACGTCCAAGTGGAGAGAGCCATAAGTTGTATCAGAGACGACTGGGCTGGGCATATAAAATTGGGGGTTTATCAGCTCAGGGATGGTATTTATAGCCATGCAAATTGATAAGGTCACCTTAGGGAGAGTTTCAGATTTCCAAGGTGTACTACGAAAAAGCAATTTTTAGAGCAATTCTTCCAGTGTGAGCCCACCTGTGGGACCCGTGCACGTGTAGGTATAAATGCGTAGAAGAGGCGGCAGAACGATGATGATCGCAGGCGTGGTCAGAGCTGAGGAGGAAGGGACGTGGGAAATGGGGGTGAAGGAGGACGTTTACGTTTATTCCATGTCCAGTGTGCTGGGCATTGTGACAAGTGTTCATTGTTTAATGCTGATAAGACGTCTTCGAGTTAAGCGTTTAAAGTATCCCTGTGTTACAAGCGAGGCAGCTAAGGCTCAGGGATTAAGCAGACTTGCCTGAAATACGCCGGGAGTTGGTGGTGGAGTGGGGCTGTGAAACCCAGAGCCTGAACGTGGCTGTAATGCAAGAGACCGTAATGGGTGTGAAAAAGCATGAGCGTGTGTGCACACCATCCAGAACTTCACAATATTGGAAGAGATGTTTCTTTTTCTTGCACTCCCTCTCCTACTGCCTTCAGGCTTTGTTCTGACTTCTCTTTTATAACAGGGGAGATGGGTCATATAGCTAATTATAAGATTGTTCAAATAGTGTCCCTCTTAGAGTTTTTTGGCAGGGTGATAAGTAGGACCAAATCTGCATGAACCCAAGGGTTCTTTCATTACCCTGTAGTTAAGTTCTTGGCACATAGTAGCCGTGAGCAAATGTGTGAATGAATTTTGAGCAGTGAATCTGCTGGTCAGATACTGGCAGCTAGTGACCCAGGTGGGGTGCCTCTCAGAACTGGGGACAGGGACATCTTTTTGTGTTCTTCCTACTTCTATTCCCTTAACTTCTTTTGTTCTCTTTGGGGTTTATAAAAATGAAAAGACTAGAGAGAGCTTTTCATAAGTTTAAGTAAATATCAAGGGTAGTTTGAGGGACCTGGGTAGAGAGTTCAGCAGCTGGGAGTGTGTGCGAGCAACCTGCTTTGCTCGATTGCCACTAGAGGATGCGACAAGTTAATTCCGTCCGTGAATCTGGACTCTCAGCAGCAGCTGGGCAGGGCGATCTCTTCATCCTGCAGGACCTTCAGTGGCAGGATGAGGTGGGACCGTATTTTTACTGATGATTCATGAACATGGGTCATGCTTAGTAAAACGCTGAAGTCTTTCAGACTTTAGAGGAGTAATGGTGTAATGAAACTCACTCCTCTCAATACTGAAAATCAGATGATAGTTTAGAATAAAATGCATTTGGAAGAAAAACAGCCTTAATTGGCTCACGGCCCCGTGACTTTACGACGGCAGCTGTACCTGGGAGGGTTACTGACCGAAACCCGTTGAACTCTGAGAATTCCCTCGCTGGGTAATCTCTTCAGACCATCGTTGTTTCTCCTCATGCTTGTGTATCGTGTACTCTTTTCTCAGTCCAGCTGTTCTTATGTTTGCAGACCTTGCCCATTAAATGGATTTAAGCCATGAATATCTTGGACTTGTCCCACTGCCCCCAACCCCCATGCAAATTCGCCGCAAAGCTTTTTCATCTGCAGTTTGGGTCCCCTGGGTCATGTGAGCTAGGCCAATTGAAGCTCTGCATAAGGGATTTTTAGGATGCAGTCAGTTTGACATTTTCATCAATTGAAACTTTTAAAATTTTTGCTTTGTTCTTCATGTAAAGTTTTAGCTTTATTTTTGCAGAAATGGTCCAGTGCCCAGTGGGGTTTGTAAATTGTCTGGTTTGGGGGTGAAAATTGAGTTTTATAGTACAACTTCAGATCACAGTGTGTGTGCAGAAAAAGCCCTTCGGTGAAGAAAGCCTCTTTCTGTAGTGGACTAGGCAAAGCCAGCGTTGTTTTGTTTCTGTTCTTGAATTTACCTCAAGGGGGCAACAAACACTTTACTTTCAGATAAAAATGTTCATATGACTTGAGTCTTCATTGCAACAAATCTCATGAATGGCTCTTGGGAAGTAATAAAAGTACAATCTGGGAGCCATAAAAACCATCCATAAATGTTACACTGAATCCTGCCCACCCACACTTGCCATGTTTTTGCTCTTTTCTCCTGGTCTCTATATTTTTATGAGATATTCTGGAAAAAGCCAGTTCTGGGTATCATGTTTCCTTTGTTGAGGTAAATTTTTACTTCCAACTCCCTATGCTAGAGTTGGTATTTGTTTTTTAGGGAAATTTTGCATACTTTGAAGAAATAGTTACCTGGTTTGCACTTTAGAATAGAGACAGAAAACTATTTTCAAATGTTAACATCTTTGCAAAATAAAGAGCAACTCAGAGATACTGTGTTTTGAACATAACATGTTTTCTTCTAAATTTTTGGATGAGATTTTTACCTTGCTGTTCTCTTAAGTTTTTTTGCACAGAGGGTATTCGTGAAAACTGGTTGGGTTACCCAAGGTGGCCCACCTCTCTCAGACACAAGGCAATGAGTTCCATGTTTATTTTGTTAGTGGTTGACATTAGGACAACTACACAGATGTAACACTGACCTGACTAGCTTAGCATAGGTTTTTGTTTTTGTTTTTTAAGATTAATCTTAAATTAGGTTAAAAGTTACATATTGTGACAGATGAGTCAACCATATTTAAGAGGAAAATTCTTTGTTGGAATTAGGGTCAAGTCTCAGCTCGTGTCCCTGCTTTGCTATCATGTGTCTAACCTGATTAAAGTTTTGCTTTTTTCTTTTAAGATTGAGTTAGGGTAAGAATAGCCCTAACAAGGTGAACTTGGTTATTATTTATGACAAGTTAGTAGCAAGCAGTAAGTTTTGTCCTTATGGGTGGGAACATTGGAAAGCTGAATGAACAGAAAGTTCAAGGGCAAAGCAGGTATGGTGTCTGTGAAGGCTCGTTAAATCAAGCAAAGTGATGATCACTCATCACTATCAGCGGTAGTCTCTGAGAGCATCAGTTACTGGTGACTGCCATCCTCTGAAAATCATAGCTCTGGAGATGAAAAGGACCGGCAGCGCGATCTGAGTCACCCGTTCACCAGAACGCAAACATTGCCAAATAACTCAGAGCAACCTTTTAAAACAATTTTATTCCTTATTAATCAGCCTTGCCCAGAAGCAGTTTTACATTCAATCCCTAATGCTCCTTGGCTGTTTTCACAAGATGCAATTTAAAAGGCTAGTTACCCATCCAGAAGTGGTTGAGTCATACCTTCTCCCTCTGGAATTTTTAATTCATTTCCGTTCCTTCCTCTTTTTCCCTCTCCATCAATGACTTTACATCCTGCAACTGTATCTTGTGTCTTGGAAAAGCTA